AAAATATACGGAAAAAACAAACAAAAATCCTAATATGCAATTATGCTGTTTTGATATTAATATAATGTCAACGTCAAATTACCCATCCGTCTTTACATGGAATATTGCTGCCATATATGGTCTGGTGCTCCCGCTGTATGTCTCGAGGTCCTTGACAAATTCCAGAGACGAATATGCAAAATGATAGGTCCTGATCTGGCATTTAGTCTACTGTCACTATCCCACAAACGTGCCGTAGCCTCCCTCTGTCTCTTCTACAAATATTTTCACGGCAACTGTTCCGATGAGCTACTTTCGCTGGTTCCCGGACTACATGAATTTAAACGAGCTACCAGGAAAGGCATCTCGGTCGCACCGTTTTACTGTCAAAACGGTTAAATGTAATCGTCTCTTCTACTCAAACAGCTTCTCCTCCCGCACTTCCCGTCTGTGGAACTCCCTTCCACTTCCTTCCTTCCTTCCTCGATGACTATAATCTTCAAATATTCAAGTGTAATGTCAATTGACATCAGACACCCTGAGTTTGTACACGATCCTTCACTCTATCCTTTCCTCAAACACGCCTCTTTACTCTTGTTCTCAATCCTCTGTAACTCCTTGCGTGCTAGTGGCACTCCTGCCTTGCTTGGGGTGAATTGCCTTAATTATATATATATAGATATATTAATGTGTATATTTATTAATATATATATATATGTGTGTGTGTGTGTGTGTGTGCATATGATTCTGCATCTAAATGAATTACTGAAAATACTGTATGTTCGTATGAATGTTTGTGTGGCCATTGATGGCCGCCTTTATCTCTATGTGCGAGTGTGTGTGTGTGTGTGTGCGCGCGCACGCGCGTGAGTCTCTGCATCCGTTGCTCTGTTTTCGTTTCTCTGTGTATACCAAACGCTGCGCTAGGTGCGTTCGTGTGTCTGTGTGTGTGTGTGTGTGTGTGTGTGTGTGTGTGTGTGTGTGTGTGTGTGTGTGTGTGTGTGTGTGTGTGTGTGTGGCGTAGAGCATTTCATGTAAAAACGCGGGAGAGAACAACATATAACGTTGGGGAGAATATCGTTGGTTTTCGTTGTTTTATGACCGGAAGTCCGGCGACACGATTTCCTACTTCTCCAATGTGAAATAGCCAGTTCCCCACCTCACATTACAACACACAGAAACACACACGCATATGCGTGCAAGCACATACATATACATACATCTAACATGACAAACGACCTTTTTAAACGTTTCCCTTCCATTTTGCCCAAAACGATCTTGCTTTCTGAATACAAATCCCACTCAACGACGCATATTTTTTCTCGTGTCTGGAAGTGCTGTCAAAATGCATTGAAAGTCTGCTGGATACAGAAGAAATCCGTTATTCAAAGTGTCCACCAAATGTGAAAAATCACAAAATATTACAGACAGGGGAATTTGAAATAAATATATATATATATATATATATATATAATAGTGAACATTAGAGGCGACAGTCTGTTTCATGCTAGACGTGTTTCATGCTACGATTGCGTCTAGCATGAAACAAACTGTCGCCTCTAAGTGTTGACTTCGATGTTCACTTTTATATTAACAAACGCTCTATCCCTGATATTGAGCACTTTATACCATAAATATAGCACGCCTTAAGACTATATTTCTTCATATATATATGTGTGTGTGTGTGTGTGTGTGTGTGTGTGTGTGTGTGTGTGTTTGAAATCAAAAACAATGTCTTCAGTATTTCATCGTTGATAGAAAAAATATGCTAGAAAAAAAAAAAAGCTTATTGTTTGCCAAATACTATTTTAAAGAACTGTTAGATAACATTTTTTTAAATCGAACGCATATTCATTCAAAGAATGTTGTCTTCATTCAATGACATACATCCGTATGCACCAACGCTGATTTATATGTGCTGTGATGTCCTCCTTCTAATGAGTCTATTGTGGCCTCTTTCACCTAGTATAAAATTAGTAGAAAAGTAAGCCTCTAGGGAACAGTAGTATAGATTTTTCTACAGCGGCTGTGACAGTTCGCAGCTGCTGTCGAACTCTCTGCCTCTAGGGAGAGAGGAACCCGGACGAGGCTGTGCCGAAAGGCAGAGTCTCGTCCGGGGAGGTAGACAGCGGGTTCTACGGGAATTTTTTGACGGAGCCTACGAGTTCGGATGACCCACATTAAACTCGGCCTTGTACCTCATCTACTCTTGTGGGGGGGAGCACTAAATATGAACATTAGTATCGATTGAACGCTGGTCAACCAACACACACACCCAATACTCTTCTGTTGTATTTACTGTTCAATACACGATTTATCTGCAACTTCTTGTTTTTTTTTTTTATTTCTTAACCATTTCCTTGGTTACAACAATATGTATGACCAAAAATGCAAAAGATGCCCTTCAAAAAATAATTATAATTTATTTGGTTTTTATTTAGATTCGAAAATGAACCACTTTAAACCATATTAAAAGATAAGGATTTGCTGATGTCAGCAAGACAGGTTGGGTTGGGTGTGAAATCGGCGAAATAACCCCACCTCGTGAGAATTTTTATTTCAGTCTGCTAAATTTCAGAGTCATATTCAGGGCATATATATATATATATATATATATATATATATATATATATATATATATATATATATATGCACGGTGTGTAATGATTATGATCTTTCCTGTTAATTCACCTCAAAGTAAAAAGAATTTATATTTACTAAAATTCACACCAAATTTTCACAGAGCGAAGCCCTTCCATTGCCT